TTTTTTTTTTTTTATTAAGATGTGAATGTGAAGAAAGTGAGGTAATAATACTGTTCGGATGAGATTGAGATATGTAGGTAGAAAGATTATTTTAATAATTTTTATACACAATGACATTTAAAAAAATAAAAATTTGAAGAATTGATAGTTTTGAATAACAAAATCAACTGGATTTTTCACAATAGAAAATTGAACATCCAAATGAAAAGTAATATTTATCTATTTTACTTCTCTTTCAATGATAAAGAAACGCTGGACAATTATGTTGTTACGTGGGATTTAATTTAAAAAGTATAATAACGAGCTATTAACGTGTAAATAAGGGAAATTTGTATTATTAATGGATGATTTAACGTTACAGGAAGTCGGTTATCGTATGAACCGAATTATTTTTGAATGCTTGTATGTAAAGTCTGGAATCGGGATCTTGTACAAGAATAATTTTCGCTATTTATAGTAACTATTGGCGTGGCCCGTACTTCCAGGTTGGTACAACTGCATTAAATGCAGAACGCCTTTATGATGCGGTTTTCTGTAAGTAGGCCCACATAAATGATGACGATATGTATAGTGTGCGGTTTCGCCACATAGGCGTTTGTCACCGACCTTGAATTCGGTCTCGTTGGATATCGGTCTTAGTAGGAGACCTTGGTTGTTAGGAAATCGGTTACCATCGCGGGAGTTACATCGATTTTCCTGTTTGGATTGGGCCGAGTTGCTATAAATCCGCGCTTAATCCATATTTAGTTTCCTTAATTTTGGTTTGACCAGGTCGGTTGTCAACAAGTTACAAGTGCCAACATTACACCACAATAATAGTAATAATAATAATAATAAAACAAAAAATTGCAGAGAGAGAAAGAAAAGAACAAAAAAGGAAATTGGGAAGAAATAATAAGAACGTAGAAGAATGGGCCTTCAAAGTACAGAAGTGTCATTTTCTTGCTCCTCACATGCCTCAGATCCATCAATTTTCTTTGCCTTTCCCTCTACGAAATAAAAAAAGTACAAGTCATTGTAACAAGCGCAAGTTGATTCAACAATTATTCGCCGATGGCATAATTTTTTTGCCCCAAAATGCTTGCATGATGATTCTCGTAATTTGAGCCATGTGCAATTTGTTGAACAGAGTCGATTTTGACATGTTCTTTAAGATGAAGATATGGTACATTGACACATTGTAATGAAGCTTAATTATTATATTTGGAAATTTCATATTTAAAGGTTACTTAAAAAAAGAAAATGAAATATTTACTAATTGTCCAACCTAGCTCA